CCAGGATAAAAAGGAAAATCACCAAGCTGATAATTTGTCTCATTTCAGGCATATTGTTCTTTTTCCAAGCCTACTGTCAACACATTACATCTAGCTGCATAAAGATTAATGCTTTTATCTGACGATGTGCAATATGCCCGCTAACATATTCATTTGATAGTATGTAAATGTATTGTTTAGTCTAACTACTTGTTTAAGTTGAGCTAGTATATTTAAATGCAAAGTAGCAAAAACTATTTTAGAAGAATGCATTGCACATTTTTAAAATTATACCTAGAGATTGTTAAAACTTTATTCTATGTCTCTGTAAACTGAAAGGTTCTGTACAGATTTAGTTTTGTTTTTTTAATCTAAAACTGCAAACACATCAGAGATAAGAGGTTATGGCTGAAGTTTGATTGCATTTTATTTAATACCAAGAGAGAATTGCAATATAATACAGAGAGGAGGGCATTCACCCCTGTAATTTCCATCAAATATTATGACAAAGTTCAATAAAACCCGACAAGAGAAGTCAAAGTTATTACTTTTTACAATATCATATTTTATGACCATGTGGAAAATATAGTTGAAATATTCTAATTGTTCTAAAGAATTGTCTCATACTAGATTGGTAAATAATAGTGCTGTAGCTTATCTCTACTGGTTGAAGCAGACCAATGGTTTGTGACTAGAGTTGAGCGAACCAAACATAACGGTTTTTGGACCCTGGATCTGAACACGGACATTTCAGTGTATGTTCGTGTTCGAGTTCGGTGTTCGGCGATGTAATCGCGCGTTTTGAAAGGCTGCAAGGCAGCCAATCAACAAGCGTTTGACTTGTTTGCCCTTAGAAGCCATCACAGCCATGCCTACTAATGGCATGACTGTGATTGGCCAGTGCAGCATGTGACCCAGCCTTTATATATAAGCTGGAGTCGCGTAGCGCCGCACGCACATGAGCTCTTATTAGTGTAGGGAGAGGATGCTGCAGCTGTTAGGGACAGATTAGGAAAGAATTCTGGTGTTGAATCTGCAAACTACAGCGATTATTCAAACTACAGCGATTATTCAAACTACAGAGATTATTTTAGTGGGTGCTGTACTACATTTTTGTACCCTGCCCTGAGCCCAGTGCCACAGAGAGTGAAGTGCACTTGCAACTGCATGTGTGCCAGGCACATGACTTTAATCCTGTTCTGGTAGCTCAGTTGGCAACATCTAGGCATTTTTAAATACTGCATATTTTTGGCTGCTAAATAGTAAATTTGCGTACTGCATTTCTTTCAGTCTAATAAAACCCTTAAATACTACTGTTACATTGTTGGTTTAAAAAATCACACTTTTTTCTGCTAAATAGTACATTTGCGTCCTGTGGTGCACTTCATATCTGTGAGTCAAATAGAACCATCAAACACTGTGCTTATAGCACAGTTTGAAAAATTCTAATAGTTTTGGGTGCTAAATAGTACATTTGCGTCCTGTGGTGCACTTCATATCTGAGAGTCAAATAGAACCGTCAAACACTGTGCTTACAGCGCACTTTGAAAAATTCTTATTGTTTTGGGTGCTGATGCTAAATAGTAACTGTAGCTCTAAGGGCTTGGTCTATCTGATTACCTGCCAGTGTCCAATGCAGTATGTGGGAAAAACATTTCTCCCTTTAGAAGAAGAATTCTAGAACATGTCAATGCAGTAAAAACAACAAGACATATAGAGACTCCGGTCTCTAGACATGTTAAAACTGTACATAGGGGTGACCCCACTGTTTTAAGGTTCCAAGGTATAGAACTCATTAAACAGGACCAAAGGAAAGGCAATTAGGACCAACGCATTAGGAAGAGGGAATGTTATTGGATCTACCGTCTACAAACTCTGTCACCAAACGGACTGAATGAAGGTTTTACCTACTCTCCATTTATTACATGATCTCTAAAAATATAAATTTTGACAATTTGTAAATAGTAACTACTTTGTAAATAATTCACTCCCACTCACAGCACTCTTTCTTGATAATTGAGCATATACCTTTTAAATTAACCGTTAACCACCTTTCATTGCACTATTCAATATAAATAGCAAGACAGAATTTACAGTCTTTTTGAGAGCTCACTTTTATGGAACATCTAATAAATTATGTATGAGATGAAAGAGCTCCCATATTTGGAGCTTGTCCCTATTTACCTTTAATGGTATAGAATACAGACAAACTCTGTGAAACTGGCTCCAATATGGGACAAATATGTTCATCTTATACAGATAACTAAAAAATCCAAATAACTACACCGTCACTTTAACTATGTATGAGCCTTTTTGATGTGTTATATAATTATCATAATATGGTATATAACAATATGATATATTATTAGTAGTGGACAGTGCCTTAAAAAGGTTAGCATAGATCTTTTTTATGCAGACTGCCAATATATACTGTGATTCTTGGTAGCTCACTCAAACATATTTGGATTGAGTCCACCCTATATAACCCTTTTGGCTCATAACCCTTCTGAAGTGAGAATCCTATTTACAATATTACAAGGAGCTCTTTAAGGGATTCGCCACACTCTCCTGCCAATTTACGGCAGACATAGACAGGTATCCTGTCAATCATATGACGTTTTCCCCTACAGACTCCTCCCTTGCCGCTACCCCCGGCCATGTGACATGGTACGTCACACGTGACGCGGGAACATCCCGATACGTCATCAATGACGATAGGGGGATCCCGCGCCCGATTGGTTAACGGTCATTTAAAAGTCCCGGCTTTTCTTGAGGGCAATTGCTCAGCCCCTGACGAAGGTGTTATTACACACCGAAACGCGCGTCGGGCGACAGCTCGTCGTTCCTTCTCACTCCACTTATGCACTAAGGGACACTTTGTTGCACTATGGGCTTTTAGACCCATTTTTTATTTTGCAGTGTTATTCCTAGCTAGTATTGGTTATGGCAGACTAGGCAGGTGAGTCTAATATTTAGACTCAGTTTAGAAAACCCTCGAAGGTGTTTCCAGGAGACTAGGGACTAGTTCAGATGTTTTTTTGCGCAGGAAATTTTCTCCAATATTTTACAATCCCTCCACTAGCCCAGCACCACTGGTTACAAGCTTAACTATAGACACAAATAGGATTGTCTGCTGCTTTGGGATACATATTACTCTATCTCCTTTTATTGATATATTCAGCACAATAATTGTGTCTTTTGTAGCTCCTGCCTGCACCCATATACTTATAGGGATGTGTTCACTCCCCCAATAGGTATGAAATAGGTATTTTGAATTACCATTCTTTACCATAAGATTGATCTCTTCATTTTTTTTTTTTTGGGGGGGGTAATCTCTACATAGTGTCTCTTTGTTACTTTTCAAGATTCAATAAAGATTTATTCCCATTAATAGTGTAACAAAGGGCACCAATAACGATTTTAGGCAGCACATTTCTGCTCCTTTATTTATTATTTTTTTTCCCTTTAATTTATACACAATACTTCCTAGGACTTGTGGGTATTTTTTACTTTTATTGTCAATTTTTCTTTCATTGCCAGTTTAGGAACGCCCTTAGGGGATTTTCCTTTCTTTCGTTTAGTTTATAAATAGTACATTTGCGTCCTGCGGTGCACTTCATATCTGAGAGTCAAATAGAACCGTCAAATACTGTGCTTTCAGCGCACTTAGAAAAATTCTAATTGTTTTGGGTGCTAATGCTAAATAGTACATTTGCGTCATGTGGTGCACTTCATATCTGAGAGTCAAATAGAACCGTCAAACACGGTGCTTTCAGCGCACTTTGAAAAATTCAAATTGTTTTGGGTGATAAAAAGTAAATTTGTAGTGTGCACTTCATTTCTGACAGTCAAATAGAACCGTCAAATATTGTGGTTACAGCGCAGTTGGAGCAATTGAAATTTTCTGGGGTGCTAAATAGTACATTTGCGGCCTGCACTTCATATCTGACAGTCAAATTGAACCGTCAAATATCAATATAACAATATTGTAATTCGGGGGCAATTCCCTTATAAGTCAAACTGAGAGGTCAGTTTATAGGGAAAACTGTTGCCTGGATACAATTCTAAAACAATTCCCATATGTCCTTTGCAGAGTTTACATGCTGGAAAAACACAGGTGCCAACTGCTGTGGCTTTCTGCAGTGAGCAGACCGGCAGGGAGGGCAGGGTTGAGGAGTGGGTGGAAGATGATGTGGAGGATGATGAGGTCCTAGACCCCACAAAGAATCAAGGTCATGCGAGTGACTTGTGCAGTTTGGAGTAAGGGGCGCTGGTCGCACAGAGGCACCAGCACAGTATAAGAGGGTGCAAAAGTGGAGCGGCCGTCCCCTAGCGCTCGTCAGCATTTTTTAACTCGAGAATTACCAGTTATCCAAGTAACAGATGGAGCGATCAAAGGATCCATAATAGAGTTGAGCGAACCTGAACTGTAAAGTTCGGGTTAGTACCAGATTTAACGAGCCATTTGAAGTTTCACATTGAGGGCAGCAGTCCGGTGACCGGGACCCAGACACTGTCTGGGCAGCGATCGGACAACCGGGACCCAGTAAGCCTGACATTGAAGTTAGGAGTCACAGTGTGGAATGGATTAGCAGGGTCTGGTGCAGAGTAACCGCACGCCCCCTGGTGTTGAGCACCAGTGATGTAGCTTCAGTAAAAAGAGTACAGGATACCAGAAGCCATCACCAGACTGATCCGCAACTTGGAACAGGATGTGACATTCACTGTAGCAGCTGTGCGAGCTTTCGGCGTTCTCACCCTGCTGCTTGCCTGTCTGCGCTACAGCGTAACTTTGGCCTTCCCGCTCACCGCCTCATATGCGACGTGGCCTCAAGGTGGAACTCCACCTTGCACATGCTGGAGAGACTTGCAAGCAGCAGCAGGTGATAGTGGAGTTTCAGCTGCAGCACGCACGGGTCAGTCGCTCTGCATCAGACTTGCCCTCCAATTGATCATTGTTAAAGGATTTCAAGTGGACTCATTACAATTACAGGGCCTCTAAAGAGTCCTGTATTGTTATTTGTCGTCACTACCTCCCCACATCGGGAGTGGATAATTTGCACACCTGCTGCCTTCCTTGGATGTGGTAGCCGTTTCTCAGGCTCCCTCTCTGGAATCGAACCCTGATTCCCCATTACCCATGGTCACCATGGTAGGCACAGAAAGTGGCACCGAAAGTTGATAGGGCAGACATCCGAATGCAAAGTCGCCGTCACGGGGATGTGCGATTGGCCCGAGGTTCTCTAGAGTCACCAAATTACCTGCACAACTATAATGTCAACAGCTGCTCTGCCGAACGGATCTTCACTAATAGGTAGGGGATGGAGGAGGGCCCTGTGTCCCTTCTCTTCCCCACTCTCTGGCAGAAATCAGGCAGTACTGCCTCAGAACCTGAGAGATGCCTGGCCAGAAGAAGCTGTGGGTGAGCCGAGGTGCTGTCCGGCTCCTGCCCAAATGCCCTGCCAAGGGGATATCATGAGCTAGCTTCAGCAGCTCTTACCAATAATTCTTGGGTCTGGGGCTGGCGGTCTCTCACCAGCCGTGTCGTTGGGGAGCCCATTGAAAAAGTGCTCTAGCATGACGAGCTGGGTGATCTCCGGGAACTTGGCTTGATGGGAGTTGAACCAGTTCTGGGTGGCCCTTGTGATGCGGCATGCCCACTTCGCATGGGAGTCCTTCTTCCCTTTCCGGGTCTCCCTAAACTTTCGGCGGTAATGCTCAGGGGTGACTGCATACCGGGACAGGAGGATTTGTGTAATAAATGGATAGTCTCTGATCTGCTCTTCTGGTACAGCCTGGTAAATATCCGCTGCCTTCCACACTAGTTTGCTGGCAGGGATGGTGACCCAGTCGCTGAGGTCCACGTCTTGCAGTAGGCACTGGCGCTCAAAGTCTTGTAAAAAGTAATCAATGCCTTCTTCTGCTTCCTTGAACTCTTTGAAGGCATTGTATGGTAGCTTGTGGGCCAGGGTGGTTGTGCTTCCCGGCGCCATCTGCTCGCTTCTTCTTTCATCTGGGTTCATGGAGGTCGCCCTCTGTCTATTGGCAAGGACATAGGCTTGAACCGCCAACAAGGTCCTGCTGACAATCTCCTTGATGGTGCACCTCGAGGATTTCAGCGCGGGTCGGCTCAGCTGGACCTCTTTTGCAACACCTCATGGAGCGCTCTTCCTAGCACAGGGTTGTTACAATTATTCACCATCTTTGTATACATTAGGGGATGAATATGATCCCTCCTATGAAACTAAGTTAACTAATTAGATCAGGCCCTCCTCACTGACAAATTTATTCTGAGAATCCTGTTTTTTTATTAAATCTCATCCTAATGCACTGACATTCTTCATTGATAAAAAAAACCTCAAGATTTTCCCTCTCAGATGGAAGACTGTCCACCTCTGCAAGGCTGATATCTTCCACATTCTCTTCTTTGTCTGTAAGAGATATTGTCCCAAAAGAAAGAGTAGTCAGAGGATCTCTTGGCTCGCCCTGGGAAGACTGCTTTTATAATGGATTGTTGAAACTGCATCTTGAACTTGCATATGTTTAGGAATCAATTTAGTCTGTTTTCACTCCCTGTTTCCTTTTTGGTGGGGAACAGATCTGTGCATTCTTTCTGCATTTGGGACCTTTATGATGACCACTTCTTTTTGAAGGGATGAAATTAATTTTAACAAAGCATCTCTTCTTTCACTGTCATCTGTCCATTTTATCATCTGGAAACTGCAACCTCCTAGGGTTCTGCAGAATTCTAGTAGATATCTTCCTTGTATGATATCTAGAACCCATCTTTCTTTTACATATTCCTCCCATTGGAATCCTACGTTGGAAAGACTAATTTGACTGTACGTGATCACATCAGAAGACATGGGTCAGGAATCACCACTACTTACAGGGATCAAAAAAACAGAGAAACCCATAACCAAACATTTTTTATTTGTCTCACACAGACTACCTACCTTACTCTTCATGACCATAGACCATTTTTCTCAACTTCCCTGTGGACTCGACAGATCCAGACTTCTTCAAAGAGAAGCATTCTAGATGCATCATCTCACACACCTAAAGAATTAAAGGAATGTGTCACATATTCTAAGTTTCTTTAAAGTATGGGTGATTCATATTATATAGGGAGCATATAGTGGTTTTTAATATACTCCACATATATATTTTTTGTTATATATTTTTTGATATTTTTGTCATTTTTTATAAAACATTTTTTTTATATTTTTAATATTTTATTTATATATTTTTTCATATATATATTTTTATATATTTTTTTATATATATATTTTTTTATTTTACTTATTGACTTTTGGGGCATCTTGTTTTCCTTTTGGAGTCCTCATATATAGAATATGGTATTGAATTTATCTATATACATCATTATACTGTATATTCTAATAAAGTAGAAGTTAGTACACAAGTTAATAGTATTTGTAATGCTTACATGATACAAAATATGTCACACCATTCCGATCTGTTATTTATTTCTTTACTCATGATTTAGATCAGTTTATTGTGGTGTATTATACTGCCTTGATCTATCTTTTAGATCTGTAGGAGTTCAGACACCACACTTACTACCCCATGTCATTTTTTATATACTTTTTTTGCACTTCGTTTTGTCACTGTTAGATCACATTTATGTGGACCATCCCCTCAGATCTTTATATGTGACCTGCAGTTTCCACAACTTATCTAATCCTCCATACAAGATTCTTGCAGTTTCAAGGCACTCAGGGCTATCACAAGTTTGTTTATGTTTGTCACTTAGCAACCACGGCAACCACGGCAGACCTACATAACTATGCACATCACGTGTCCCGCACAGGATTGGTAAGTTCATTTTCACTTTTTCTATTTAACTGTATTGATTACACTGTTAAAATTGATCTTGAAAAAGACCACACACACACATTTATATATATATATATATATATATATTTTTTTTTTTTTCCATTCTCATTTTTTTTGGTATATATATATATATATATATATATATATATATATATATATATATTTGTGTTAGGTGCTTAAGATAGTACAGTGTGAAATACCATGAATAAGCGTAGGATGATAAAAGGAGCAAGTCGGTTGTGGTGTGCCGAAACCGACGATGAGGTAGGCCTGAGAAAGAAGAGGGCCCACCCAGGAAAAGAAATAGAAAGGGAAATAAATGTTAAAAGTGGTGTGGTGGGAGGGTCATTCAACGCTGACCTCGAACGGTAAGGAGCCAGGCAAGGGGAGTGCCTTAAGTAGGCTAGGGGGTAGCAAACCAGCACCTCCCACAAATGCAGGCAAATTGCCTTAATACTTGTGTTAGGTGCTTAAGATAGTACAGTGTGAAATACCATGAATAAGCGTGGGATGATAAAAGGAGCAAGTCGGTTGTGGTGTGCCAAAACCGACGATGAGGTAGGCCTGAGAAAGAAGAGGGCAAAAATTAAGTAATCAAATTTATTAACAGACAACCAATACATATACATTTATCAACCAGACATGTTTATGAAAGCATCTCTTAATTCTTGTACTGGGTTCGGTATGTACCGTGAGTAAGCGGATGACTTCCAGCGCCCCAGTGTTTTGATAACATGAGTTGGGACGTTGAAACTGGAGGCTGTGGACGCGGCTCCTATACGAAAGGAGTGTCCTGAGTAATTGTTTGCGTTGAGGCCCAGTTGTGTGAGCAAGGACCTGGCGTAGGTCATGAAGGTTGTAGTGGTGAGTACTGCACCTTGTAGTTGTAATAACGGTTGCGAGGGCAGTAAGTGATGGTGCTGTATGTAGGCATCAAGAACCTTGACGGGACACCATCTGTTGTGCGTGGGATAGTACGGAATGTTTACAGGTATGTGCTGTCTGGTTTTGGAGTGAGATAAAGACAGGATGTAATGATCCATATGTTTTGTCAAGTGGGAATAGAGGAGGAATGGAGTGGTTTGGGTCGTGGAGGTCGTAGTGAATTCTCTGGGTCGTAGAAATCCATAGAAAGCTATGTATATTGCTGTTTTGATGATAGAATTCGTATTAGTGTCAAACGGTTTTAGGTCGAGTAGGTTAGATAATGCTTTGAAGATATGGTTATCTATGGGTAGCCTCTGGGCCAAATGTGTGGGTTCTGATTTTTGAATACCTCTGAGTATGGTCTTAAATTGGTGAGAGGCCATGAAACTGTTGTTATTTGGGTGTAAGATGAGCATGTGGTGTTGAATGCCAGTGAGATAGAGTTTGATGGTGTTGTATGACATTTTGAGTTTAAGGTGGCAAAAGGAAGCAAACCCCAAAAAAGATGTCTTAACAAACGGTTGTATGATGTTATGTTCCAGAAGGAATCGTTTGAATAGTGTGAAAGCCCTGCTGTATGTTTTGGTTGTATTGTGTGAAAGTGCCAACTGAGACAATGTCCTGCTATGCTGCATGATGACGTCTAGTCCAGTATGAGTTGTTGAAATGTTGGAGTGATGGTGGCTGTGGGTGCTGCTGACGGGAGTGCTTGATGAAACTCCTGAAATTTAAAGCGAAACAAACTGTCAGCAGCTGTGTTGTATACACCTGGCACATGGAAACAACATAGGAAGAAATTATGACAAGCTGCCAACCAAGTGAGTTTCCTCAGAAATCTCATGATCGTAAGAGATTTGGAACGACCTTTGTTGATGATGTGACAGGTTGCCTGGTTGTCTGAGTAACAGCGCACTGGCGTATTAGCCCATAAATGACCCCATGCTACGGCAGCCACCACTATGGGGTAGATCTCAAAAAGAGCTGAGGTAGTGGAAAAACCTTCCAAATCCTGAACTGCTGAAGGCCAGCTGCCCCAAAGCCATTCGTTCCCAAAAATTGCTGCAAAACCAGTGGTAGATGCCGCATCTGACCAAATGGTAGGAGATGATTCAGTCAATTGATGGAGGAACATACTTTTACCATTCCAAGTGGTTAAAAACCTCTTCCACATGTTTAGATCTGCCGTAGCTTGGGCATCTAAGGACAACCTGTGCGAGTCATGTAGAAAAAGTGGGAAAAGATGTAATAGTTGTGAAATAAAGGAGCGGCTTTGAGGTATGATGCGCATTGCAAAATTTAGTGACCCCAGCAGGGACTGTAGTTCTTTGCGGTTGCAAGTGCCGAGCTGTAGGTAGTTGTTTATGTAAGTGAGAATATTTTCTATCTTATCGTATGGTAGGCTTGCTTGCATTGTGGCAGAGTCTAATTGGATACCCAGAAAAGTGATAACCGTGTCTGGCCCTTCTGTTTTCTTTGGGGAGATGGGTACACCTAGTTGC